TGGGGCAGCCATTGTCACCACATTCAGGGCCGCATTATGACTTTCAGGGCCCCTAATCACTTTTGTCTTCGTGGCCCCCTCCCACCACAATGATGTCAGTATCAAAAAATATTTTTGATATAACTTTAAATACTTCAACTTTTTTTTTCTGTTCAAGTTAACATTTCATAGATCTCCATGGATCGTAAAGTTTGGTGTTTTCCTGATATGGGAGGGGGGGAATTAAACATTTTCTTCGACTCTAAAAGCTCATTTTTGCTTCTTCTGATTTTAAAAGAAATCAGAAGATTTTTGTGGGCTTAACGTATCGTGGGACCTGGGACTGTGCCTACTGCGCCTAATGGATAAGTCGGCCTTGACCATGTGATAATGCCACTTGTGGCATGATCCGGAAGCACAGGCATCGTGCCAGGGAAACTCTCTAGCACTTGCCACCAAACTTATAGAGTGCGAAGTGTGCGAGTGCTGGAAGTAACGTAATTGCACAGGGGTGACTGTTGCTGCCTCTGCCCTCGTTTGGCTGGCCAGTTTCCACCTGCCGACTGACCGGCTGGGTGTTGGCAGGCAGTGGCCATAATAACTATGTGGAGTTTAATTGCCTAGCAAGTCTGCCCTGGTCCTTAACAAAGGGGCCACTGAACTTACAGCTACACACCAGCAGCACCTTATCCTTGAGAGCCAGTTCGGTGTAGTGGTTAAGTGTGTGGACTCTAATCTGGGAGAACCGGGTTTGATTCCTCACTCCCCCACTTGCAGCTGCTGGATGACCTTGGGCAAGCCATAGTTCTGTCAGAGCTGTTCTCTCAAGCACAGTTCTGTCAGAGCTCTCTCAGCCCCACCTACCTCACAGGGTGTCTGTTGTGGGGAGGGGAAGGGAAAGGAGATGGTAAGCCCCTCTGAGACTCCGAGTAAATCCAGTCTCCTCCTCCTCCTCCTCTTCTTCATCTTCTCCTCCTCCTCCTCCTTATCTGGATGCCCAGGGCCTCTAGATTTTTGCCCCCCTCCTGCAACACCCCCCCCCCCAGCTCTCCTTCTGCAGCCCTGTCAGCGTGGCCCTGGTTAAACACTCCACCCACGACCACCTCCTTGCTGGGTCCTGTTCTGCCTTTGTCTGTGTTCAGGAGAGGCCTGGTGCGACCCAGTTTTCTGTGGGGAGAAGACTCTTGCCTGCAACTCGGCCTCCCTGCTGGGCTACATTTTCAGAGCTGTTCCAGCCGGAGCTGTCTTGCATGCTCAAATCTCACCCCTCGTAATTAAGCAAGGAGTCTGCTACTTTATTGCAACAGCTGTGAACATTCCCACCTTTACAGGGATGGGGGAGGGGGCCATGGGGGGGGACCAGTCCCCTACTC